AATAATACACGAACAGTGGCTAATTTAGCCACGGGAGCAAAAGTATCAGTACAATCAATCCCAAACTCCTGGTGATTCCCCAACACAACCAACCGAGCTTTATCCCGTTCTTTGGTACCATCAGATTTATATTTGGTCATGTACACCCATTGACAACCCAGGGCACGCCGATTAGGAGGGAGGTCAGTAATATCCCAAGTATGATTACGCTCGAGAGCCAAGAACTCTTGAGCCATAGCCTCACGCCACGAAGCGTACTGAACAACCTCTTTGAAAGTTTTAGGAGCGGGAGAGGCATCAATTGCGCCCAAGAAACTTTTGTACCTGCCATGCAATTTGTCATAATGAACAAAGTGAGTAATGGGAAACTGTGTACCTGACGAAGACAAACCAAATGAAGACGGAACCGGAGTGTCGACTTTGGCGGAATGAAGAACATAGTCACTGAGATGGGAAGGAGGACGCCGAGTACGTGGTGGAAGAGGAGGAGGTGACGGTGACGGAGAGGTGACGGGATTGTCCTCGTTGTTGGAGGACGAAGACGACGATGGAGAGGCCTCGGAGAATAGTGTATGTTGCGACTGTGGAGTGCTGGTGGTGGTGGTTTGAGACGTTACTCGAGGAACAACTGTGGATGGCTGAGACGGGTTGACAATAGCTGCGAAATCCTCCGCCGATGGCTTCAAGACGGGTAGAGGTGACGGGGACCGTGTAGGTTGGGCAAATGGGAATTGGGTTTCATCAAACGAGATATCCCGAGTGTGAAAAAATTGATGAGTTTCAAGATTGTATACTCGCCATCCTTTGGTACCGTAAGGATAACCAACGAACATACATTTCACACTCCGGGGAGAAAATTTATCTGAGGGTTTTGGCATTTGACGAACAAAGCACAAACAACCAAAGACACGGAGATGACTTAAATCTTGTGGTTTAGAGGAAAGAATCTCAAGAGGAGATTTACCCCCGAGAAGTTTGGTAGGGGTACGGTTGATGAGATAGACTGCTGTTTTGACACACTCCCCCCAGAATTCAACAGGAAGTGATGCTTGAAACATAAGAGATCGAGCGACATTTAATATATGACGATGCTTTCGTTCGACTCGACCATTTTGCTGTGGTGTACCTACACAAGAGGTTTGAATACAAACACCCAAATCATCATAGTATTGACGCAAAGTGGCATTAAGGAACTCAGTACCATTATCAGAGCGTACCACTTTTATAATTTTGGAATATTGGGTGTTTATCATAACAAAGAAGCGTTTGAGACAAGAAGTAACCTCAATTTTGTGTTTTATGAGATACACCCAGACAGCTCGAGAAAAATCATCAACAATAGTAAGAAAATAATGTGCCCCGGATGATATACAAGCAGAATAAGGTCCCCATAAATCACAATGAATTAAATCAAAAATGGAGTCAGCTTTATTATGACTCATGGGAAAGGATGAACGAGTTTGCTTAGACAGAAAACAAATTTCACATGTTTGTAATTTCTTGATAACAGAACCTGTTTTATTGTAACCAAGAAAGGGAAAAACATCAGAGGAAGGGTGACCCAATCGTTGGTGTATAATGAATGGATCCGACTTGACAACAAGGGCAGACACGGGGTATGAGGCAAAGACGTACACTCCGTTTCGCAGTTCACCTCGTCCAATATCCGTCTTCGACAAACGGTCCTCTATTACACAACATTGATCATTAAAAATAACATGACAAGTAGTTTCTTGAACTAAACAACTAACAGAAACCAAATGACAGTGCAAGTTTGGGACATATAAAACGTTATGGAGAACCAAACTGGGAGATAAGCACACGCTTCCCGTTTTGCTCGCCTGGATACGAGAACCGTCAGGGAGAAAAATAGATAGAGGAGTCATATCCTCAATACGAAATAAATGAGACAAGGTTCCTGTCATATGGTGTGATGCACCACTATCAATCAGCCAGTCACAAGATGTAGAATTCATCATCAATATCTTTGTAGTTGCCAAACAAATACCTCAAAGTGTAACCAAGTACTTACAGTAAGAAATTGGCCAGATAAAATCCAATTGGTCTAAAGATTAACCAAACCTGTTGAACCCCCTTTTTTTAAAAAAAATGCGGGTGGATATATACTCCCTTAAATTTGCTACTGTTTGGCCAAATTGGAATCTAGAAAAAAAAACAACACTGCAAGTGGACGGTGCAACTGTTTCGATGAATTTTGACGGACTGTCCAAACGGATCTGGCAATAATTGATGGCTGGACGATCAAGTCTGAATGGATTGACCACCGGCGATCTTCTTCGCAGAGATAGAAACTTGGGCTGTGCGTCGGGCTACTGATTGGCGACGATCGGAGAGTTCAATTGGCGCACAAGCAGGGAAAGACGGACGCGGAGACTGCAACAGGGCAGACGTCAAGAGACCCGCGACCGCAACAGGGACGAACGGTGGTGACTGGTCGGAGACTGAAAGGTAACCATGCAATGCAAGGATAGGCAGCGGAATATAAAAATTCTAACATCCTAACATGATTATCTTGCCCAGAATCACGTACTAAAACTTATAGTAAATAAGAATTCATACCTTTCTCCGTAAGCGGTAAAAACGAAGAAGTCGTAGGAAGAGCGTTGAAAGTGGAAACGTAACCGTTCAAGCGTCCGGTCTCCAACTTTGACACACGAACAACGCCGGAGTCTACCACAATCTTTATGCTAGTAAAGATTATAGTAGTATAAAATATAAAGATTAAAATTGAGATAATAATAATCTTGTATATTTCTATAGAAAATATTTCTAATAATATTTAGAAAATATTATAGATATTTTCTATACACAAAATGATATTAATGGAACCAAACTAATATTTTTCTCTCACTAGAAAACTATGGCCGAATTTCCTTCACACAATCATCATTTGGTTTGTGAAAAACCAATCTTTTTAAAGTGGACTAATTGTGCATGACATGTATATTTAAAACAAAGATTAATCAAACTATTTTGTCATTAGCTAAATGACAAAATTAACTAGCCACTTAATTATCAATCAAGAAAATTTGATTCTCAAAATCCTTATGATGGC